GAAATTGACTCAACTTTTTTCCAATCCAACTGCAAAGATTTTGCACTGAGCTACACAACTTTCCTTAGCTTACTCCTTTAAAAATGAATTAATCAAACTGTTATCTAAGAAAGATGAGGGAGTATCTTCCTTGCTCCTGTTCTCATCTATGTATTTAAAGGTATCAAGACTGAAATGCAAGCCAAATTCCAAGGTGTATTGAGATTGTGAGCTCTTTGGACAGTCTTCTTGCTCTACCTTCATACAACACACAATTAAACGAGGCTCTGGTCCCATGACAGGGAGGCTTGTAGGTGCTACCATGATCCAATAATACAAATAAATAATAGCAAAACAAAAACATGCATTACTGCTGTGATATTACACTTACTTGATGAGATCTGTGGTCTCCGTGAAGATGGTGTAAGCTGATTTTGGAGTTAATGCATCAGATTCCATGGCAATTCCATACTCAATGAAGGAAAGGGCAGCATCCAAGTATTGAAATGCCTTTCCAAGCTTGTCTGTCTGTTCGGAAGAAGGTGTGCATTGTTAGGCTACAAATGGAGTTCTTTTTTCTCAACTCGCCCGTTGCCATATCGATTCCTTCTCTTTGCTTAATTATGTTATGCATGGCTTGAGAGAGAGGAGTAAGTCTGGGGGATTTTTCAGAATATAAAGCAGAGACTTCCAACTATGGCCCCACTGACAGTCTCTGTGACAGCTCTGGGGCAAACTGTTTCCCCATCCTCTCCCCCATGTGAACACCTTCCAAATAATAGGCCTCAACTTGTAGTCTTTCCAGTGGGGAACCTTGCATATCACTGCCATTAGACCGGAGCACATGGCTATAAATGTCTCTATTCCCACTGTCTTGCCATACTTACAGGACAGAGTCCTCTTGGTCCCTCATGAAAGCATATGTTGCATGACATATACCATTACCGTCATCTCTCTTCAGCTTTACAATTCTCAGGCTGCATCCCAGGAGAGGGGAGAATATGCCCACTTTCTATCAAACTAAATTTGGTACCAACAAGCTACTACACTGTATTTCTCTGGTTAGTGACAGATTAGGAGGAGCTGTTTTAAGTCACTTTAAACAGGCATGGTGTCCATCTGCTCACGGGGACATAAGGTAGGGAGAATAGGTGTAGCCCAGTTACCTCTCACCCTGTTTGGTGAACTTATGTGTCACAGGCACAGAGGGTACAGGATAGGGGATAGATCACTCTAGAATAGATTAGGGGTGCTCAAGCTCCAGCCCAAGGGCCAAATGTGGCGCATGGAACCATTGCATCTAGCCTGCAGGGGTCCCCACAGGTCGAGAAATTTTGCAGCAGGGAAGTGGTGGCTATTAATATGGCCACTCTCCCCCCTGCCAAATTCCCAAACCCCATTCCCTGCATGGCCAGTCAGAATCAAGCTATGACCCCCGCCTTCCCTTGTGGGGCTGGGCCAAACCAAATTCCCTCTGTGGAGCTGGACTGGAGCCTGGCCATGCCCCCTTCCCTCTCCATCGGGCCAGGTCAAGCTCCTTTCCCTGCAGGGCTGTGTTTGGGCCAGCCTGCACCCAGCTCCCTCCACGCGGCCAAGCAATGTCCACCTGGGTGACAAGATTGCGAGCACCAGCTGTTTCCGGCCCAGGGACAGACAGGCACTGCCAATTTGGGCCACCAGGCAAAAAGGTTGGGCACCACTGTTCTAGATCTATTCAATTCAATGCTCCCCCTATAGCATCCACTTCTGCCACTGTTGGAGACAGGATACTAGTTTAGATGGACCATTGGTCTGACCCAGGATGAGACTTCTTATGTCCCTAGGTAGTTGTGCATTTGCCATTGTTTTCCCAAAGCCTAACCATTCTCTGAGCTTGAGAAAGTCCATCTCCTTCAGATGCCCTTTGCAGAATCTCTCCCAAAGTCATCCCACCTCCCATGTCACTTTCTGACAACTGACTCTCCCTTTCCCCAGAAGGGTTTTCTAACTCCCGAGTACTTTTCTAATCTCAAGGCTCTCTGTTTCGGCAAAGTAAGGCTTGGAACTTGCATGAGACAGAATGCAAGGTCCTCAAAGCTAGCGGCTTGCCCCATCATCTTTCCAAGGTATACCAGAATCTTCTTGTCCAGAAGTTACTGGGCTGATTTTCTACACTTTTCCCCAAAAATAAAAATACCATCTGTCAATTTTAGGTTATAAATATTTAGGTTACAAATCAATCTAGGTTTGCAACTGAAAAGAATGATGAAGCTTTTAAAGTGAGAACAAATTAAGATTAAAAAAAAAAGAAGCTATTTTTACTTGGATCTAATGCTTTAAAAAAAGCAACTCCAGAGACAGAAAAAAAACTTAAACTTTTGAATTCTGCAAACATTACTTTTAATGCAATTGTATTCATAGCAAAAAAAGAAAAATCTTGGAAAAAATAAAACATGAAAAATCACGTTATTAAACATGTTATTAAACAAAACGCCTCTCTCAGAAAGTGTGGTGGCTACTGTTTCCGGAGTTCAAATCCTGCAAAGCTCTGCTTGACCTGGTATTGGCAACCGGGGGACGACCTAATCAGCAACCTAACGATCGAAGGAAAGCTGGGTGACAGCGACCACGAGCTGATCACCTTCACCATCCGCCGAAAAGCTGTCAAGTCAGGCAGCAGTACAGAAGTCCTCGACTTCAGGTGGGCTGACTTTGACAAGCTCAGGAGACTTGTCGGTGAGGCCCTAAGGGACCACAACCCCAAAGGCAGGGGAGTCCAGGAAGAGTGGTCGCTCCTCAAGGGAGCGATCCTAGATGCACAAGCTAAGGTTATTCCATCTCGGAGGAAAGGCACACAGCAGCCCCCTTGGCTCTCCAGGGAACTGGCAGTCCTCCTGCGTCTAAAAAGACAGAACTACAAAGGATGGAGGCCGGGATCCACCTCCAAGAAGGTATACTTTGCACTGGTCCGGACCTGAAGGGAGCAAATCAGGAAAGCCAAGGCTGCCATGGAACTCCAACTGGCCACAAGCATCAAGGACAATAAAAAGTCCTTTTTTAGATATGTGGGGAGCTGGAGGGTGAACCCTCCATCAATGCTGACTTTGTGAAGTAACACCTTGAGAGACTGGACAACTTCAAGTCAGCTGGCCCTGACAGTTTACACTCCAGGGTACTCAAGGAGCTGGATAGCATCGTAGCTCAACCACTGGCACGGATCTTCAAGAACTCCTGGCACTCTGGTGAAGAGCCTAAAGGCACCCCATTGGCCTTCTTCCAGCCTATCTTCAAGAAGGGGAGGAAAGTGGATCCGGCAAACTACAGGCCCATCAGCCTGACCTCTATCCCGCGGAAGGTCTTAGAAAAGATTATCAAAGAGGCCATTCTTAACAGACTGGCCAATGGCAGCATCCTGAGGGACAGCCAGCACAGGTTTGTTGCGGGTGGGTCATGCTTGACCAATCTTATTTCCTTTTACAACCAAATGACCTATCACCTGGCCAAGGGAGAAGAGATTGATGTCGTATATCTTGACTTCAAAAAAGCTTCTATCTGGTATCCCATGATCACCTCTTGGCAAAACCGTCAACTGCGGCTTTTGGTTCACCACGATCTGCTAGCTGGGGAATTGGCTCTGTGGTCGGACCCAGAGGGGGGTGGTTGATGAAAGTCAATCGTCATGGTGCCCTGTGACCAGTGGGGTCCCCCAAGGCTATGTCCTTAGACCTACTTAGTTCAACCTCTTCATTAATGATGTGGACATTGGAGTCAGAAGCGGCCTGGCCAAGTTCATCGATGACACCAAACTTTGGGGTAAAGCATCCACACCAGGGGGTAATCCAGGCTGACCTTGACAGGCTCAGTAAATGGGTGGACGAGAACCTGATGGTGTTTAACAGCGAAAAATGCAAGGTTCTCCACCTTGGGAGGAAAAACCCGCAGCATGCCTATAGGCTCTGGCAGTGCTACGCTGACTAGCACTACAGACGAGAGGGACTTGGGGGTCATCATTGACCACAAGATGAACATGAGCCTTCAGTGTGATGCTACAGCCAGTAAAGTGAGCAAAACACTGGCTTGCATCCATAGATACTTCTCAAGCAAATCCCAGGACGTCATTCTCCCATTGTACTCGGCCTTGGTGAGGCCACAGCTAGAGTACTGCATCCAATTTTGGGCTCCACAATTCAAAAAGGATGTGGAGAAGCTTGGGAGAGTGCAGAGGAGAGCCACGTGCCTGATCAGAGGTCAGGAAAACAGACCTTATGATGACAGGCTGAGAGGCATGGGACTTTTCAGCCTGAAAAAGCGCAGGCTCAGGGGTGACCTGATGGCCACCTATAAGTTTATAAAGGGTGTTCAACCAGGACCTGGGGGAATGTTTGTTCACCAGAGCACCCCAAGGGATTACAAGGTCGAACGGTTATAAACTCCTGCAAGACCGTTTCCGACTGGACATAAGGAAGAACTTCTTTACTGTCTGAGCCCCCAAGGTCTGGAATGGCCTGCCACCGGAGATGGTTCAAGCACCTACTTTGAAAGCCTTCAAGAGAAACCTGGATGTTTTTCTTGCTGGGATCCTATGACCCCCAGCTGACTTCCTGCCCCTGGGGTAGGGGGCTGGACTCGATGACCTTCCGAGGTCCCTTCAAGCCCTAATGTCTATGAAATCTATGAAATCACTAGCAATAAATTATAATAAAAATCCTGAAATTTCAAAGAGCAGACTCTCTTTAAACATACTGTCCAATCCAATATGAGGTTTAGTAATGGCACACATAGCAAATGCAGCTGTTTATACTAAAGAAGATACAAAGTGGTGGGCTCATTTACTAAGTTTGTTTGAATGACTGGACATGGTTCAAACTTGAATGGACACTTAGGAGCACTTCATTTATCTGCAAACAATACTTACAGGAACATGAAAAAAGATCTGTTTGTAAGTTTCTGACCTGAATATGACAACTCAAATTAATGCAGGATTAATCTTTTTTGAAACACTTTGATCCTGGGAAACTGGATTTCCTCATACATCATCTAGCACCAGTAGCTACACATAGACCAAGGGGCATACAAGAAAGATAGGAAGAACACTGAGATTATGACCCTCTTTTTTGTGATTCAGGACATTTTGAAGCCAAAGGTTCATTTAGAATATTCTTAAATATTTCCAGAATATGGCCAGGACTTACCATTGCATCAGCTTTGTGCTTCAACCTTTTGGCCTCCTCTATGTGGTATTCCATTGGATGTGGTCTAAATTGGGGATGGAGAAGAGGAGAAAGAAGGACAAAGTTAAAGGAAGGGGCAATTAGTAATGTTACTCTCCTTCAAAGAGGATGCTGTTATTGGTGTGTGGGCTTCTGCTATGATTCTATATGTATTAAAAATGATGATAATCATTACACAAATGGTAATTTCCCAATACAGAAAAGTAGTTAAACCTCTGGTCTAAGGACCCTACAATCGAAATCTAATACAAATAAAATGGCAGGAAGTGAGAGCCAAGATGTACGTGGGGGGCAAACACCATGGAGAGTCTGGAAAGTGGGAGCTGGAAACCATGCATCTCACATAAAAGTCAAGCACCTCAGAGGATAGCAAAGGTGACAAGACCTGGCTGGAGCAAGGAAGACATTAAAAAAAAATTCCCTTACTTTTCAATCTTTACTTGAGGTCTCCTTGGCTTGGAGGTACCATTTGGCAAAGAAGGCACTGAGAAAGGATTTGTGGTGTCCCTTGCAGATCCCTGGAAAATCACCACCATGAAAAGAGGAAACTGGTCAGGTAGCTGTGATCAGATACTTCAAAAGCTTTGACTTCCCAAATTAAACAATGTTTAATTAATCCCAGAACATATTTTCTTCACTCTCCCTATTTTTTTTTTAATCAGTGATGAGGAAACTTGGTTTAACACAGGATTGCTGAACACCATCTGGTATTTTCTGCAGGGTGGAAAAACAAAGTAGCAGGTTTTCCTCAGAAATGAAATTAGGATTGCGTTTAGCAAGACAATGACCTAGTGAGCTAAGGCAGCACTAAGGCTACTAACAATACTTTTCTTGGCCTCTAGCAAAGCCAGGTACTAATAAGACCTATTCCAAGTGATTTAATCACACCTTCTCACTTGGCGGGGAGAGGGGGAGGGGACAGCAGCTGAAATAGCAGAAGGTAAGTTACCAATGGGAATTCCAGAAATAAAACCAGAGCTAAAATGCAAATGTAAAACTGGCTATGGAAATTCCCCAAACTTTCTGAAAATAAAACGAACTAGGACTACACACAAACAAACAAAAAGATAATTGGACTTTATAACCCAAGACTCATGAACTCTCCCGTGAAACATTAATTTTATAAGTAATGATGATTACTACAAATTCAGAACCTAAACAGCAGCAAGACTCGCTTTTAAAAGTGACCAAAAATCTTTTTTTTTTTTTTTTTTCAGCGTACTGATTTTGGATACAAACTGCACCCACATTACTGAAAATGAAATTGGGCAGCCTTAAAAGCAGGGCCATGATTTAAAATGTGATCCTCTTACCCATCTTTTAAATCTATTCATTCTCCTTTGTATTTCATCTTTGGCTGGGTGAAAGTAGGGAGGAAAATTCATGGGTGGCATCAAGTTAAAAGACCTTAAACATTACACAATGTCCTGGGCCTGATCCAATGCCTCACAAAATCAGTGAAATGACTCCCCAACTTTGGATCAGGCCAGGTGAACATCTGAGGCTGCTGAAGAGTGGAGTCTCAATCAGCATATACCCCTCCTAAAAAGGCATTTTTGTGAATTTTTCATAGTAAGGCATACTAATTAAGACCTGTTGCAAACTAATGAATTTTGTGAATTAGCAAGTGGAAAACATAAAAGCAAAGATGTTGCAGCACAAAGCAATCAAGTAGTATACTTCCTGAAATAATGAAGTTTCAATAAGCAGACCTCACTCCAGGCTCTGCTTTTATACCTTTCTGGAAAGGACTAATATTTGAGTTAGCAAGATTCTTCTACATAAGGTCAAAGAAACCAGGTAATGAAAAAACATGTTTCTAAAAGCCCATTCAAAGGACTTAGGCTTTTCAAATGTTAAAGGACTGCAATGATTCTGAAGAGACCTGCAATGCCCCCACTGCTAGCAGGAAATGTTCTCCCATTAACAGATTTCACCTACTTTGTTGCTCTTGGAGTATTCATAATGCTTCTCCTCCATTTTCCTGTGTTTGGAGGAAGAAGGATCCTTGTGGTTGCTCTTGCTCTTGGCAGTGCTGTTGATTGTGGCAGGCAGTCGGCAGCAGGTACTGCTCTCATTGTTGTGCCTCTTTTGTGCCTTCTTGGCCGGCTTCTGTGCAGGAGACACTGGTGGTAGCGGTGGCAGCAACAGATCTTTCTTCTGAACTTCATAGGAACATTTCAATACTCTGGAGATGGGAAATTAACTTATCACTTGGGATATACTTGGCGTATATTATAGGGTTTTTGAGAAAATTAAATTATATGATGCAATGATTATGTTTATTCAGCTGGAGATGCTGGGCATGTGAGATGACTAACAGAATGCATCCACAAAAAGCAAGAGGAAACTTTAGGGACTTTCTGGTGATACAAAGAACACGCCTTCCATTGTCAACAAGATGCAGAAGATCAGTTTTGAAACAGGGACAGAGAAAATCTCAGATTGGTTATTAGAGGAAAAATTTTACAAGTGAACAGTTTGGAATTTAAAAGTAACACTCCTCAAAACAGAGCCATTTTCCTCCCCTTCCTTCACTCTCCAGGGATATCTACAGTTAAGAAACTTGAATCTTTATGAAAGGATGCCCTGACCAGTGCACACTACTACTGCATGTTGCTTATTTGAAGTGATTTACTTCTCTAATTTGGCAGAATGCATATTCATCACCTGAAATCATCTCCTATTACATGAGTTGAGAGAATTCAACTGAATATACTCTAAAGACTAGCCAATTAAGTTACCTCACACACACAACTGTTGAGATGGAGATTTTCATTTGAGTTTTGTGTCTCAGTAAAGCTGCCTTTTAAGTAGTTTACAAAATGCTGTAATCATCATGGTCCAGATAATCAGTAAACTCAAGCAGTTGCATGCTACTCGTACAATGCAAAGCAGTTACACATCTCACTTGGGTAAATACTTAAGTTGGATTTGCAGCTTCTTTAAGTTGCCAAAATGGCACAAAGTGTCTAAACCAGAGATTTTCAAACAGGGTGCCCAGGCACCCTGGGGTACCGTTAGAGCTTTTCAGACATGCCACTCAATGTTAGCACTGTTAGGTGTCACACTTGATTCACAAGATCAACCGGACAATGTCAAATAAGAATCCATAGTGTTAAAAAAATTCTAAACTGATGACCTTTGAGTTCTTTGCCATAGAGAAGTTGCTGTATTCTTTTTCCATAGTCAAAAAATGAATGAAAACCAACTAAGAGCTGGCATTTTTCAGGGGTGGCCTAAGCCTAACTAGAGGTGCCTTAAGCCTAAAAAGGTTGAGAACCATTGATAGAGACTACACCCAGCTGAATCTGGCCTGGAATCCAAGCCAAACTTACATCTGTCCCAGTTTAACTCCACCCTTTCAGGAGATAAAGATGTAGCCATGTCCCATGTTCTAAAGAGACACAGGTCTTTGTTATGACAAAGAGGGAGACCAATTCTAAAATCAAAAAGCTTTTCCCTAGTAAAGCTGTGCTACCAGAACCCAACTATTTAAATGCTGGGACCATCAGAACAAGCCTCACATCTGACACTAGTTGCTCCCGTTTTTTTCTGCAGATGGGCAGTTTCCTTACAGTGCCAGGACTGAAGCCATAAGAGATTTATAGATCAAAGTCAACACCTTGAATTCAACTCAAAAGTAAATAGGAATAGAGTGCAAGATGCTAGAAATTTCATGCAACAGGCTCCCCGTCAATTAACCCTGCCAATTAAGTGGGTAGTTGCATGAAGCATTAGCAATAGAATAAGAGAGCCCTACCACCATGCCATAATCTGAGGTGCTAAGGCAAATCCAACAGGAACTTCAGTTATCATGCTGGATGCTAGGGGAAAAATAAAATTTTGGTCATCAGTGCCACCAGGATTCCAGGAGTAGTCACAGAACATCTGAAAATGGTGGCCCTTTCGGATAAAAGATGCACATGCTGCCCTCTTAATGAAAGGAAGGACAGTCTACTCCTATACTAAAAAGCATGGTGGATCCAGCATTGGCTAGAACATGCTCTTCGAAGTACCACCGTCCCTGGGGGAGGGGGAGAATTGGGCGACTGCCCCGGGCCTCACAGAGCTGGATGGAGCAGCTGCAGCAACTCCGTGCTGCTGCTGGCTTTACGTCTGGCGACTCGCCCCCCCCCCCCCCCCCCCCCAGCTTCCTTGCATCCGGGAGCAGGACCCTGCACAGGCTGATTTGCCCTGGGCCCTGCACCCTGCTCAGGTCATCTCTGGGCACAGGCAAGAACAAAAGACACTGCACCATCTGGGTCTCATTATAGCAACAGAGTTGCTGCTCAGTCTCTCCACTGATGACCTCATGGCTCATGTCTCCCTACTGGCTCACATGTGCCGAGTGGGAGTAGCTACTTAAAATAGATGATCAGTCACCACCACCATCTGTGACCTAAGATAGGAAGGAGTCAGACCATGCTAAGCAGACACTGCCTTCCCACTCAAGCTCTGAAGGCAAGTTGCCAAAATCTCACAGTTGATGACATCAAAGGTAGCAGCTGAATCAGATCTATCAGCATGCACACTTCTTGTCCATCACTAAGAGATCATCAACTTGTCCACCATTCTTGTCCATCACTAAGAGATCATCAACTAACAAGACAAGCACAGTTGGCACTAATCAGAAGCCGCTAAAAATATAGAAACATCAAGGAAATCAGGAGACTTGATGAGTGAGGCTTCTTCACTACACTACAACCTTCTCAAGCAGAAGGCTATGAAATCAGCTCAGCACAGCTTCCAAAGAATGAAAACAAATGCTGAGTCTAAGAGGTAGGGGACAGCAAGAGAAGAGACCAAAAAGAAAAAAAAAATGGATAAAAGTTGGGAGAACAAAAATATTTTTGTATTTCACCCTGAAAGATCCCAAAGCGCTTGAATTATTACACAAAATAAACATACAGTTCATCTACCACAACATTCAGCCACCTCTTGGGTGACAGACAGCAACAGTTTCTTAGCAGAAACTACACTACACCACAGTTTAGAAAAGACTAAATGCCACCCTTTTCTGAGGGAAAAGGGTAAGCAGACAGGATGTAACTTCCCAGACAACAGTTGCAACTGGGAAACCAGTTTTGCAAAGATTCCTCAGGAATGTTAATAACTTTGACTTGTTCAGGACCATATATTATTATTTGCACGCCATCAAAAAGATGGCAATTCCACTAAAATTACACAGGGACGTTCGTTATGTACAGCTTGAGAGGGAAGAGCATCATGCCCTGCAAGGCCAGAAGAATTTCCTGCACTAGTTCTGGGTCCCTTGAGCCACGCACTATTTAAACTTAGAATGGTGGCTCTTGCTGCTAGGTGAGGGAAGTTATCCATTTCAACATGTAAACATGAAAGACCTGGTTCTGATCTCAGGCTGATGTAAATCAGTAATAATTATGCTGTCAAGGACACACTGAAGTCAGCAGTGTGTCATCAGCGAGAGAAGAAAAGTCAACCCTAGAACTTCTCTTCATGAAGGATTAGTACCATAAGGAGAGGAAAACAGGTATGCTGTCAATAGTAACTGTATCTGCAACAAAAAATGTAAATAAATGAAAGTTTCTTTAGCTGTCTTGTGGACTCCAGGCCAAAAAAAATAAATTTACACCAAACTAAGTTTCATATAACACATTGTATTACATAAACCCACAGCTGAAGGGAGGAGAGAGGAAAGAATTCCTCATCCAAACCTTTTTAAAGAAAGAACTCAGTTTCATATATTGTGTTGGCATCTTCCTCCTCTATACTCACTTCATTTTACTGGAGTCTTTGTCACCTGAAGCTTGCAATGATTTGGTTTCTTTCTCCAACTTGATTATTTTCCTATCAGTCTCTTTCTCTACGTCTCCCTGTTAACAGAAAATTCATCACTTAGGCTCTAAAAACACGTGAAAAAAGCAAGCTTGTGTAGCTAAATATGATTTGTTAGTCTTTAAAAAAAAAGAAGCTGGGAATAAAAACATACAGCCCTAGAGCACATTATTAATCTAAACTTCAGCTTTGCTGAAAAGGATCCCAAATGGGACTGTCTCATTTTGCAAGACACATTTATTTTGGTAGATGAAGCAGAAATGCTGAACATCTCTCATCAATCCCACTCCAGAAGAAACTAAGTATTTTTTAACGTACCCCATTGAACGCTAGTATTTTAGATCTACTGGTAGTGTCTTATTTCTAATGAATATGAATCAGACAAAGCACAGAAAGGCTGAAGCACATTAAAATTCCTTCTGGCAAAGTCATCAAAGGCAAGTGATTGTGTTTTGCGATATGCTTTGTTTGCCAAAAGGAAAAAAAAATAGCATACCCAAGAATGAAATGACACATGGATTCCCCAAGGTCATTTTAACAGAAATCAGGTACAGGGGGAATTTTTTTTTTTTTTTTTTTTTTTAAATAGTTGGAATAATTGCTCATATGCTTCCCCCAGGAAACTACCAGCATCTCAGACAGATACACAGATATGACCAGGTAAATAAACCTTTAAAATGCATATTGCAACACCTATGGAACAAAGTATTTGTATATATATTTATCAAAATTTCAGCCTAACTGGGTGAAACATTAAATGTTATTTAAAAAATTTAACATTTAAATGTATTCAAGCAACCTGACTCATAGAGATGTTGGTGCCAGCAATGTGCATCCAAGAAGGCCTCTCTAAATGTTCACCTGCAGTGCAGTCTCCACAGCTCATGTTGACATGACTGAAAAAGTTCTAAACTAGTTCATCCAGGTGTTGGTATCTATGGTAGCCCAAAGCAACAGAGAGCTCAGTGTGAGCTGCAAAACTTGCCTGAGAAATGGGGTAAATTCCCAGAAGAGGCCACACTGAGATCTGTGCTGCTATGGCTACACTGCTCACAGGGCCTGTTTGACTGCTGTGCAGACATAGCCTAAGAAGGTGAGATGTCACTTTGCAAAGGGCCTGATCCTGTGAGGTGCCAAGCGCACTTAAATTTATATCATCCACAAAAGATGTCAATTTGAGACGTGTAGTATCTCAATGCCATGGAGACAAAGCAAAATGTGCATCTCCACATAATTTTAAAATCAAATGTAATATGAAACCTTCAGCCTTCTGTGCCATAGGCACAGATGTCATTCCCCAACAAGCTTGAGAATTTGTTTCAGCCTGTCCCAGTAAAATTGAGCAAACACCTGAAAAAGGACAGTCTTCCACTAGCTGGTTGGGTACTGGTAGAATCATAGAAAGTCAGGGTTGGAAGGGACCTCAGGAGGTCCAGCCCCAGCTAGATCATTCCAGCCAAAGCTTTGTCCAGCCAGGTTTTTAAAACCCTAAAGGATGGAGCTTCCCCCACCACTCTGAGTAACCTGTTCCAGTGTTTTACTGCCCTCTTAGTGAGAACATTCTTCCTAATATCTAACCTAAACTTCCCTTGCTGCACCTTGAAACCATTGCTCCTTTGTCTGTCATCTGCCACCACTCAGAATAGCCTAGTTCCATCCTCTAACCACCCTTCAGGTAGCTGAAGGCTGCTATTATGTCTCCTCTCAGTCTCCTCTTCTCTAGACTAAATACACCCAGTTTCCTCAACCTCTCCTCATAAGTCATGTCCCCCAGCCCCCTCACCATTTTTGTCACCCTTCACTGGACTCTCTCCAATTTCTCCACATCCTTTCTGTAGTGGGGAGCTCAAAACTGAACACAGTACTCCAGATGTGGCCTCGCCAGTGCTGAATAGAGGGAAATAATCACTTCCCTTGACCTGCTAGCAACACTCCTATCAATGCAGCCCAGCATCCCGTTAGCCTTCTTGGCAACTACAGCAGTGTAGCTCACAAAGCATGGAGCTCAGGATGGGTGAGCTGCCTGAGCACTTAGCCCAAGTCCTGGGAAGGTTTCACAGTCACACAGGACACCTTGCTGCTGTAGTCAGGTACTGCTGTTTGAGCTAGTTTAGTGCTACACAGGGCACATCTCCACAAGCTACATTTGCCCCTTTGGACTGCAGTACAGACATACATAGCATCTGGTAATGCATCTCTTTGTTGGGGGGCAAGAGATGAAGGAACAGATTTACTGCCTCCTCTCTCTACAGGACAATGCCTGCTAATCTCTCCCCAGGTTTTCTGCCATTTCTCATAGCCTTCCCTATTGCTGTGGGCCCTCCCTCTCAAAAGACAGTAGTCAATCCTTCTCCCGTAGAAACAATGCGTTAACTGGCTCGGAAACAGTAGGGTTTAAAAAAGCCCTGCACCTCATAATTCACCCTTAACTGGTGGGACAATAACAAATCTGGAGTTGTCTGAAGAGTGAGAAGCAGCCCTGGACCAAAAATGGGAACAGGGCCTGAAATAGCTACAACAAATATACTCCGCACATGTACTCCTTGTGGATACTACAGTCAGTTAACTGCACGTACCTTGCAGTCATCTGGCACTCGCACATGATCCAGTGTGCCTTGCAAGAACTGGCACTCAGAGCAAGTAAGGGAACTACTGCTACCACTACTCCTACTTCAGCTGAAGGGTCTGTCCATTAGCTCATTAACTGTTCTTTAGCTCAGGCTTCTTTAGCATAAGAGCCAGTGTTAAGCTCTATCTACTTGCATGTTTCTAAGGTCAGATGTAGTATTAGAAGTTAATTTTCTCTGTTTTTAAATCCAAACAACAGCTAGACAAGTTCCCTGATTATATTCAGGAACACTTCCATCTATTACCAAAACACTCACAAGCCCTTAGTGGAACACAAGTTGGGCCTATGGTCAGTCTATGCACTACTTTTTTTATAATCTTTTAAATTACAGGTGTGGTTTTTTTAAACTCAGTTACTGGTACAACCCTGAAAGTGGATGACAATACAATACTGCTTCTTCCAGTTTGTGCAGTGTAAGCACCTTCACAGTGGTACAGCTGAATCTGCTCTGATGGGACTAGATGACCTAAGCCAGGGGTAAGCAACGTTTTTTGACTGAAGTGCCGAAAAAAACACAATGTCTACCTTGGAAAGTGCCGGAGTGCCGACATGCCAGAGCCCAGAGCAGCTGTTTGCAGCCTCCCAGCTGCAGCTGGCCCACGGAGTCCAGTCTACTTGCAGCAGGGCTTGCAGCCTCCCAACCGCCTACTGGGAGCAGCCTGGGCTCTGTGACTGGCAGCAACTGATTAGGCTGGCGGTGGTGTGCCGAGCAAAATGGCCTTGCATGCCATGCTCAGCATGCGTGCCGGGGGTTGCTGACTCCTGAACTAAACTGTACTGGTATCAATTAAAGAGGTACAACTCGTGTAAGGCACCCCTCTCTGCTGAACTACTGAAGATTTCACTTTAAGCATCCACACAAATAGGAAAGAGGGGTGTTCTGCAGTAAATACGAAGAGCCTTACAAGGACGAATAGCACAGCACAAGGAAGCATTTCAAACACTATGCTACTTGCAGCAAAAGAGCACTTCAGCCTTCTCTACTTCCAGTACTGCTTTGTGGATAAGTTCACTGACAGTGGAAGCAATTTAAAAGAGGAATCAGCAGACTTGCCTGCAGGGGACATTCATAGACCTGGTTTAATGTTCTTCCAATGTCTTTCAACATATGCTGAAAAATGCCCTTTCAAGAGCAAAATTTGCACACACCTTTCAACTTTTGCATGACTTTTCTTAAAAAAAAAAAGCCAAAATATCAACATTTTATTGGAAAAATCATCAAATTCCTATTTGCTGAATAACTATCTGGATCCTTCTAAGTTTTTACCAGGTCCGGAGGAAAACGTGAAAAAATTTCATTTCAAAGCTTGTGAAATTGAAATCAATTCCAACTGTTAGTATGTTTCTCAAGCAGTTCCACATTCTCAGTCCACTGAATAACGTTTCCAATGTAGTGAGAAATTCCCCTATCCCAACCGTCCCCCAGCTCTCACCTTCCTCTTAAGAGGCTTGTTAGGAGTTTCTGTGCTTTTCTTTTCCAAATCCCGCTTCCTTGCACTTGAGAGCTTTTTCCCCTCAACCTTTTTCTGGTGGTTCCCTTTCCCAGGTGGCTGAGGGACCCTTGTAAGGAGAGCAAGCTCAATTTTGACAATGAGAGCATGAGGGGTTATGAAGTCTCTCAGAGGTGGTAACTTCTTATCCCTGATAGGCAAAAGAAATTTGTTTCTATGAAAGTCCTCTCTGACCACAACGGTAGACTTATTGCCACTAGTCCTGGTGTGAGTTGTGCTCTGGCTTTGAGCTAAGGGGCCGAGAGAAAAATGCTCTGGGTCACAGCCAGTCAAAGTATCTTTCACAGGCTTTGGGTCCAAAAATGGTTTAGAGGCTGCTTGACGTTGCTTGTGCTTTTTCTTTTCAGAGGACTCTTGGACTGTAGTCTTGGAGTCCTTTTTATCACTGGATTTTGGCCTCCCTTTTGTTTGTACTTTCTGCTTGTCCCTGGAAGACTGGTCTTTAACCTCATATGGACCAGGCTCACTTTCCACTTTCAGGCCACCCTTGGGTTCCTCCTGTAGTGGTATCTTGCTGGGCTTCTTGGTACCAACTGTCTGCCTCTGCGAAGGCCCCTCAGCATCTGTGGGAGACTTCTGGCAATTCCGTTTGGTAGGAAGATGGCCCTCCAGTGGAGCCCTGGCTGCTTTGCTGGAGTTTTTGTGATGAAGCTCCTTTGATCCAGAACGCTCATGAGTGGAGCTGCTGCTGCTGCTGTGGCTGCTCCCCTTCCCCTGACCCTTGCTCTCAAGGTGACCGTGTGAATGGACCACCTCGCTGAGGTTCTCAGTAGCTGCTGTTGGTGGGTTCACCTTGGTTAGCCAGTTGTCCAGCTGCCATTTATTTGATGTTGGTGGCTCAGGCTGTGGGGGAAGGGGGAGGGGAGGTGGGGAGGAAAGAAAGAAAGGCTTCAGGGATTTTATTCATATTTGCAGGTCAGATCTCCCAGATGCACTCAAAACCTATGAAATGTTGCCCTTTCTATGAAAGGCACTGATCATGAAAGAGATTACATTCAGATGTTCATAAGAAACACACAATGGAGAAAAAAACCCTCTCTCTTTTGCACAGGGCAAATCTGACAATTCACAAAGAAATTCTGGTCCTCAGTTATCTTAATTTTTCACGTGAAAGCTTGGCCCAGTCTTACTCTGTAACAGAAGCACCTTTGTCACCTGATGGCTGGGTGCTATTAACACAACAGAATCAAAGACAGAAACTTTACAAAGTAGCTTGCATCCATCCCTAAAGTTCTCTTGAACCTACATGAAAAGATACTTCTATCACTATCCCTCTTTCGATGCCTAAGTATATATTTTGTATTTATAGATTGGAATTGTGTCTTAAGTGAAACATGTGGGCCCCAAAAGTTATAAAAAAAACAAGCTTTGGCACTGGAGTATACATCAGAAAATATAAATTAAGAATATTTCTGCCTCTCGCCCACTAAAGTTTTCCAGTTGTCAGTGGCCCTCAGATGCATTCTAGCAGTTGTGCATTAGAGTATCAATAGGCTTTCAAACTTTTTTTTAAGCCATGCCCCTTGTGCCAGGGGCACATTTTACCTCCTTCAAAAGGCATCCAAACTTTACTCAAATGAAACCTGCAATTGATCAATAAATCTGAGAAGCAGGGGTTATGTCTGATAGGGGTGGTGTCAAAAGACCTATTGCTTTTGTGCTTCTCATGCTTTCTGGCACTAGCAAGCCTCAGTAAACCATGTGATCAAATAACCTACCTATGCATGTGCTTCTAACAGTTATAATACAAGACAGAAAATTAAAGGATGGGGCAGGGAGAGAAGAAGTGAAAAACAATTAAGATATATACACTGCTACTGAATCCCCCTGAATCAAACAGAGAAAATGTAAAATTGTATCTTTCCAGCTATTAATGCAGGAACACTTTGCAGTTGTTTCTTTCTCCGTTTTTCCTCCACACCACAGAGTAGGAGAGAGACAGAGAGAGACCTTGCTCCTATGACATGTTGCCCACAGCATGGCATCATGCCCAGCGCTTAACTGGGATGTGGAAAACACATTTTCATTTCTGAAGTGATTTTTTTTAATGCATCTGGTCTCAATTATGAAACTATAAAGCATTATCTGGAGTTTGGTTTCCCAACTAAGTCAATAAGGCCTCCAAAGCACTAGCATAGCAGTAACTGAGCCCAACTCAACAAGCAGCAAGTCCAGTCACATTCCAGTGGAACCTTCCTACAGGTCTGGTCACTTCAGATGCAGTCGAAAGAGAATTCTCTCTCATCATTTGCATGCCATCCCCCATTTTATTTTAAAAGGAATTGAGCTACTCTAAAAGGAAGGGGGAGAGAGAGAGAACAATCTCATTTTAAATGGCAGAAACTGTCAGGGCTGCTCACAATTTAAGTTTCCGCAGTAGTTACATACTCAGAGATGGGCCTGAGCCCCCACAGAAAGTACTGATCCACCCCTTCCCAAAGTTCAACTGCAAGCTCTGCTCCCTCTTTGTTTCTATCCATTACTTTCGAGTAGGGAGGGAGGGGGGAAAGAAATAGTGCATGAAATTCCTTATGGGAAATAAAGAGAGAGGCAAAGACTTTAAAACACACTTTCTAAATCCCAATTAGACAGTTACTGAGTCCTATTTCATTAATGAGCTTTGAAAGTTGAACAGAAAAAAAGTGTTTGTGGAAGTAGCATGGAACGTAATGGATGCCTGCACTATAAGGTGATGACAGCCTGTCCCAGGCTTCTGGAATCATGTTGGTATCCAGTCAATGAGAAGCCTGAAGCAAAAAGCTTTGTTAAGCTCCCCCTATGTCACGTGCAGTCACCTCACAGGCACTCACAACACAGACACAGTACCTCAGGCACCAAAGTTCTTGGTGGCTCATTTGCTTCACTGTCACTCGAACTGCTCTCGCTCTCCGAGTCTGAAGAGCTGTCTGAGTCACTGGTGCTCCCTGATTCTGCGCTGCTGGAATGTGCTGATGACACACTCTCAGGCTGTGATTGTGGGGCACTGAAAAGCAATTGGGAGATAAAATTAGAAAGCAGTCATGGGTGAGAGTGTTATTTTTTTTGCAGTGATATGACAGCATTCAGAATTAAAACAACTAAGTTATGTTTTGGCATTGGTGGGGAAGGGTAGAAAGCAGAAGGAATTCATTAAAATGAATACTTTAAAAAAGTATTTCTTTTACTTAAAAGAAAAGCAGAGGCTCCAAAGCCTCTTGAGATATACTCATCCCCAGCCAGATTTTGACCTGTGACATTAACAGGTTGTGAAGATGTATTTATGGGGCTGTCTACCAAAAGCAAAAAGCTGGCAGAGGTTTTTAAAGTCCATTTCTCTGAAAAACCAGTCCTCATTGGGACAGATGCCAATTACACAGCAAAAAGCAAGCAGTAGAAAAATCAGTTCTCTTGAAAGGGCTCTCTCACTTCCCTAGCTCCCTCCAGTTTCCTTTACTTCAGCAGCATAACTGAACTGAACTGTCATAGTCAAAATAATAGCTGTGCTATGCTGGAGCATCATCCAGAACACCCAAGCTGAAGTGGTCTTTCCTGAAATGTGCTTGATACAGAACTGTACAAAGCTGAGTAGAAACTGGGACTTATAAGCACAAACACATTTTGGAAAGGGGCTAAAAGATTATGGTTCTAACAAAATTATGGTTCTGACTTAAGAAAGCCCTTTCCCATGTCAACATCAATTTGCCTGCAACTCAGGCAAACACTTTTCTTGTTGATCTAGACTCATACTGTGAGAAAACTACATTTTAAGGGGATTCCCAGAGGCAAACTTATTATCAGTGCCAAAAACTAGCAAGGCCCCTGCGCAAGACTCACTTTGTAGACTATTACCCTTTTGTTGGAGTATACAATTATGAGCCAAAAACGTGGTCTATATTTATGCAATTTCTGCTTCGGAAAGTTCTGGGCTTGGATTTTTTTTTTGGGGGTGGGAGCACATGCCCAGTTATTTCACCTTGAATAATGCTGCTTATAAGCAATACCCTGACGAGTGAAAATCAGATATGTGCATTACACGTCAAGTCAGCGCAAGGAAGAAACCATATGGATACAGGACTGAAAGAAAGGCTAGATTTGGCCAATCATCTATCCAACTTCAAGTCATGCTCATATTTTAGTACTTTAGCTTACAAACAACCCATGTTGCCTAAGCCATTTTTCATGCCTAGCTTTAGACAGCCAGATATAGAAGTTTGTATTTATGATAGAAATAAGTAGACTGGTGCTCAAAAGGTGCTGCAAGCTCTCTTTCAAACATAATAGCTTTTACTTTATCCCATTCACTTCTGTGTACAAACATCAGTCACATTTTTCTTTCTGTTACTCTAGTTAATTTTGGAACAGACAGTACCTTGGAGGAGCAGATGAGGGAGGTGGCTTTTCAGTGGCCTGAGTATTTACAAAAACAAAGAAGGAAAGGGGAAGAGGTTAAATTAAGGAGCTTAAAATAACAGATTGCGTGATTTAAAGAGACTTCAGCATGCATAGAACATAAAATGCCTAGAACTGACATGATCATCATCACTGTCTTCAGTATCGCTGAGCTGAAGATCATTTTGTAGCATTCTGCAAGATAAAAAAAACAAAAGGATCAGTGTAGAGAGCTGCACTTCAAAAAAAGGACAGACCACAAGAACTGACTCTGCCCTTTGAAAGTTCGCTGCTTGGTTCTGATACCAGTCTTTGAAAAAAGCAGCAGCTTTTCAAGACTTAGCATATTCTACCACTCAGTTTCCTTATTACTTGAATAAACCACAAATATAAACATCAAGGCTGAGTTTTCTCACTATGTTTTTCCTCAGATGTCAAAGTGCTTTATCAAGCAGGACAGTATCAGCCTCTTCACTTTACAGGTGGGAAAAAAATGAGGCATAGAAAGGGGAAGTGACTTGCACGGGGTCACCAACCGAGACACCAGCAGATAATATTTGGGACATCCACATTTCATCCCCAAGTGCCAACCCAGTGCTCTAAATCTACTAGTCCACATTGCTTTCCATTACAATACAGAAGCAGTCTACATGTACCAGAAGCAATGCAAACGAACATATGTATTCACTTCATTTTTTCTTGGACAGTAATTACTCCCATCACTAGACAGGATCTCTTTCTGCTGCTGTAGTCTCCAAATGAAAAACACCCAGGTAAATGCCAAGGTCAAGCTGAACTTCTACCTCTCTCTCTCATCTACACAACAACTTTGCGCTCCTGCAAACTGCACTGCAAAATGTAACATTTGGTACAACAGAGAGATACAAGGTAAAATATCAATGGACAAATTCCACGCTCACACTGCCGGGACAGGAGAATGGTTGCTTGCACGTGTCCAATAGTAGAACTTGGTCATAGATTTATTCATAAATAGGTAAATGTCTACTCATAAATATATAGATGTCTACTATCACAAAGTATAATGCTCTGTGTTGTCTCACAGCTGCAAGAAGATGCTTAAAAAGGCTGATTTTAAAAGAGGGAAAAAAGTGCCTTGAGGGCCCCAGAATTTTGTTTTGCTCTCAATGACGTATAAGGGCAGCTGAAAGTGCTGTAAAATATGCACACACAAAACCTCTGCTAATTCAAAAGATAAGAGATGAGACAAAGCCAAGGAAATAAAGGTTTTTAGTTGATTTAAAACTGTTTGTTTACTACCTTTATTCAAACCAACTGCTAATTAATTTTGGGGGGGCAAAGGTCTCCTTGTTAAAGGATCCATGTGACCAACACTGGCTGGTGAGAGAACTCATAGTACATTTATTGAGAGACTCCCCACAAAGTTCTCTAGCAAAGCCAAGGAAACATGGATTTGAAATTCTGGCAACTGCTTAGCATATTTTTGAAAAATCCTTAAGACAGGACTGTCAAACTCATCCACCCTCTGCTTCAGTCAGGGTTGGACTGCAAGATTCCTTGCAGGTTGGATCTGGACCCACTTGCAACAGTGGGATTAGTGGCATGAAGGATCCAGACAGCTACTGTCTGCTCTGCTGCCAACATGCAGCCCCCAACAGGGCTCTGCACCCTGAACTCAGTGGTAGGCTCCACCTCTGCTTAAACCATCCCTGAAATCCTGGATTTGCCCCCTGCAGCCTCTGCCCTGTGCTTCCCTCCCCTTCCTTCCCGCCCTGCCACTTACCCTGAGTTGCAGCTTCAGCTCTTGCCCCACCCCAGGTCAGAGCACGTGTTGGCTTCAGCCCCTGCCTGCCCACCCAGCCAGGAAGCAGCAGCACCATTTCCAGCTCCAACCCTGGGGCCAGGTAGCAGGGGGGAAAGTGTTAAGCTGTTCAACTCCTCTTCCACAATGGGGGCATGAATTTAAGATAACCCTCCAAATTTGTACATGGAAAATTATAGCAAATTTATAAAATCTGCATGTGTAGAATCTAATTATTGGAGGGTCAACTTAAATGCAAAGTCACCTTAGATTTGGATAAATATAGTATTTTACATTTATACTCAAAAGCACTCAGGAAAAACAAACTGATGCACATTTCCCCCAGAATTACTAAACCACTGAAACTACAGCCGTCTTTGGGGGAAACTGGGAAGATGCTTAACAAACAGCAGCTCTACACAACAGGAAATGACGAATCCCAAATCTAAACGAAACTGAAGGTACAATTAGCTTGTCAGTTGGATAAGATCTATTTTAACAGTCAGACATTAACTGGCATTTATGACTCAATAGTAACCCTGGATTTCTCTCACTGTATGTTAGGCTTGTCAAGAAACGGATTAAAGTACCACAACTCAAAATTTAATGAGAAAAGCTATTCCTTCCTGTTTGGTGTGCAAGCATGTTATTCCCATTAACACTACAGAGATTTGCACAAACATGATAAATGAAGAGACACTCAAGCAATTGTTTAGAGTAGAGGTCAGCAACTTTTCAGAGTCTTGGGCCAGAGCAACCTGGCTTGGGTCCAAGGTGGACCAGTGCTCTGACCTAGCTGCTGTTGCTGTGGCTCTCCCCTACCACTTCTCCCCACCCCTCAGCTGCAATGTGGGCGCAGCTCTGAGCTGCCCAGCGCCAGATTGTGGGCAAATTCTCCCACCACCAACATGCTGCTGGCTCTACAGGCTGTATACAGTTGCTCGCCACAGTCTACATCTGGCCCATAAGCCATATGCTGAAGAGTGCTCATTTAGAGAGTTTTTATTTTTGTTGCATGCTTTAAATTTTAGTTTCCTCTAATGACTGTTAACAAAAATGAAACAAAAATAAATCACTCCTCCCTACTCTTTCAGCATATAACACAGCTTCCTCGTATTGTATCATGAAAAAGCACAGCTTTCAAGCTTCAGGAAACACTGTAAACAAAATACCTTACAAAATCATTTGTGTTCTTACAGAATCCAAGTCATCCACTCCCTATGACATCCCAGGCCTTAGTAAAGCAAGGAAGAGAGCATTAAATCTAACTGCAATCCCCATGCTACACAACATGCCCATATACAAATAAAACACACAAGTCGCAAGTTCCACAGGACTTGTTAGGTACCTGAGCATAGAGGCTGCCAGTGAATCAACTTCTCTTTAAGTCTCTGCTAATGAAAACAAATCCAGCTGAAATTTGCCTTCAGCTTTGATGATACTAATGCTATTCTGTGAAGGAGATCTGTCAATGGACTATATCAGTAAAGCTACAAACACTGGAGGGTGTCATTCCAATACATCCAGAGAATTAATAATAGTGATCTCTGTTAATTTTTCCCCTCTATTGCTGAATTCTATAAAAATATTTTAATGTGAAATAAAAGAGAGAGAGAAAAGCATAGAAAAATTCAAATAATGAAATCCTACAGAAGGACTTCAGATATATATAACTAACCAGAAAGATTTATAAAAAGCGAACAAAGATTTTACACTATGGTAAAACATGCCAGTGCTACTTTGGGCAAGATTTCAGGAAGTGTTTTAAACAAAAAAAAAAAAAAAAAACACACAAAATTATCCTCTTTTGGACATGTGAAGTTGGACACTTTAATAAACAACTGTAGCTTCCTTAGGGGTGTTATGGGCTGGTCAAAGAGGGCTACAGATACTCCCAAGATCCCTTTTTAAGATGTGGTTTGCAATTGAAAGAGTACCAGTATTTTAATATATTGAGAGCAATATCTAAACAGTAATATTTATTAGCAAATTGCATTTGGCCATAAAACAAAAGGGAGCTTTCTGTGCCCCTTGGGTATTGGCTTCCTTGAGGAAAAAACCTGACTAGATATGTCAGGCAAAACTAACTGGCACTGCTAATCTGACACAGTCTTAAAGTTTAATATGGCAGCTGAACACTGGGAATTAAAGAACACCACTGCATTCCATCACAGCATGAAAGCAGGAGCAGCAGGAAGAGGTTCAATTACAGAAAAAAACCATACAAGTTAGTTTTCTGTGGTGATGGTTTCCTGACATTTAATATGTGATGTTCCAGCTATATATTTGGCACCTCACTAAGTGACAGAAGAGAAATAAAATGGGTCAGTATATGATCCTGAACTAAAGCTTTCGGAAAGGTAAATCAAATTTCTATAGAACTGTCAAAGGTACCAGTCAAAGCTTTAAAAAAAAAAAAAAAAAAAAAAAAGAGTTCAACTGAACCAGGAACACGGATCATAAATCTCTTCATCCTGACCACCAGATTTTACTACTCCATTGCACTGCTTTTACATTGGCATGACTCCCTTAACTTTGTTCTGAAATTTATGGCTACAAATAGATATCACTTATCCCAGAACAAAGTGCAATTGTTTAGACATCTATATCCCTTGTCCAAGGATAACTCCTAAAAAGTCAGTACTTTTATCTAGTGGGAAAGGTACTAACAGTTTATCTGGGGATACTGAAAAGTGCGTGTAAACATTTATTACCTCTCAGAGAATCATGCAATTATGTGCCTGCATAATTTTGCACATAAAACGCATGTCCACACATAATTGCATAATATTGCATACCTTAACATAGGTGGGCTCTCTACCTCCACCTCTATGGGGTTCCTGGCACTCCAGCTGGGAGCCCCACATAGAGGCACTGAGCACAGTGGCACTTGACTAGACAGCTAGTGAGTGGGGAGGGGAGCTCCTACCTGCCGGAGAGGGGGTGGGGATGTGGGGTTTGTGGGTGGAGGCTCCCCCTCCCCCCATGGTGCACAGCTCCTGCTGCCAGTGGAAGCAGCAGCAGGCCCTCAAGGGACTCATGACTGTGGAAGGCAGTGGTGCGCAGCTCAAGCTGAGTACCAGGGGCTGCACGTGCTGGCAGAGAGCCGGCCAGGCCCGACCCGCTAGCGTGTGCCTTCAAACCAGACCAGACTGGCTCTATGCCAGCATGTGGGGCTTGCAGCATGGCAGGCAGGAGCCACACATGATTCGGCCTGGCCGGGCCGACTCCAGTGGGAAGCCGCATGTGGAGACGCAGAGCCAGCCCAGTCTGATGGCATGCAATGCTCTGAGGCTCTCAGTCTGCATGCCATCAGGCTGGGCTGGCTCCATGCCTCCTGTGTGGCTTCCCACTAGAGTGCTAGAAGCCCCACATGAAGGCACAGACCTGGCCCAGCTCAATGGCACGTAGCTCC